AAGTAACATTTGTGTTTTATTTTTAGCGTCTCAAAAACTGGGAAATCCGAGAGAGAAAAAAAGCCAGAGATTATGAAAAGGAAGCTGAAAGGGAGGAGGAAAGAAGCAGGGATATGGTATGTTGTATTGAAAGGTTGTCTGATTTCAGACTCATTACTTTTGTTTTACAGCAACTGATTTTTTTTTTTTTTACCTGTCCTATAACAGGCCAAAGAAGCCAAAAGATTGAAGGAATTTTTAGAAGATTATGATGATGACAGAGATGATCCAAAGTATTACAGGTAGTTTGATTATACTGTCAGTTTACCATCACATATCAAACTGTGAATGTATAGTGATTTGTAATACAACCATTTTGTGGTAGGGAGAATATGCTTGTGGGTGTCTTTTGTGTTCATTACAGAGCACCTTGTGTTTTGCATACTTAGAAGAAAAAGCCCGGCAAGCCTCTTTGTTAAAACATGGAAATACCCTGAGCTGTATACAGTAGCAGAGACTCTGTAGTGGACTTTGCCTTGCTTTTGCTAGTTACAGGGCGATGATGTGAAGCGAATTAAATATGCTTTCAGAAATCTTTTTGTTTGCATAGGTGTATCAATCTTTTCTTGCTGAGAAGAATTGTAAGAATATCGCATGTTTTTTCCAGATGTAGGCTTCATTTTACTACTGCTGGCACTTTTTTTGTAATATACTGATATTACCTTTTTAAACACTCATTTGTAATACTGCACCTCAATAAACAATATGTACTTATATTGCAGAGGGAGTGCACTCCAGAAGCGGCTAAGGGACAGGGAAAAGGAGATTGAAGCAGATGAACGGGATAGAAAACGAGAGAAAGAAGAACTTGAAGAAATCAGGCAGCGCTTGTTGGCTGAGGGACACCCAGACCCAGATGCTGAACTCCAGAGGGTCAGTTCTAAGTTGGTTTTTGTTTTGTTTTTTTCAGGAGCTTAAAATTGGGATTTTATTCTGCAAAAACACCACCTCCCTGTATGCAGAAACTCTGCTTCTTTATTGTCCTATGTTGGGGCCTACGCCAGTATTAACTTCAGCACCCAATGAGTGTTTATGATCAAATTTGACGTTACTGTGTCATGAAGTTGCTTAGATGGTAAAATAACATTGAAAAGCAGCTGTAAAATGTATAAATATGCATATTGGCAAAGAGACTGTGAAATGTATGCTTTAAGCTGAAATAGATGTTAAATAATTGACTTATACTGGCTTAGCAATGTATGGTCTTGTGATGAATGAGTGTCATCAATTTGTCTCCACTGGGCAGCTTATTACAATGTACAAGTCAAATGAATTGAACTTAGCTCAATAAAAGAGGTAAAAAGTAGGGATGTTCAGATACCAGTGCTAATACTTGGCATTGTCACAAGAACTACCACGGTTGCAGCGGTTAGAGCTAGGACCTGGCTCTGGTACTCCACCGCTGTCCTGAAATCATTATTCTGTATTGTTTTAGAAAAACTGTCACATGGCAATAAACAAAAATGTATCAGTACTTGTATCTGTAAGTACTTGTACTTGAAAAAATGGTATTGGTGCATTCCTTATATATATTTTAAAAAAAAATCATACATTAAAACGGGTACACAAAACCCAGGAGCTCCGTGTGCTCCTTACAAATGACGGCTGCCTCCTAAATTTTGAATTTTTCTCTAGTCTAGGAGCTGGAAAAGTATCTCCATGTACTTGTACTGAGTACGGCACTTGGTATCTGAACATCCCTAGAAGGATCCCTTATTGACTTGAGCTGGCAATCAGGCATTACCCTCCTGAAATGTCATGACCGTATCGAGGACATAGTCCTTCGACCTCAATTCAATCATTAAGTAGTGATCTGCTTCCCGCTAACTTGCTTATGTTTCTCTATTGTCTGCACAGTGCACTAACCTGCATACTGACCACTAGACACAAATATGTATGTTAATGCACTGATCCTTTGTGAAGAGGGCAGCAATTTGAGTTTAGTAATGTCCTTTATAGTTGCTTCGGCAACACATTTGGCGTGCAGAGTCAGAAGCTTGATGAATGAAACATGCAGAGCGTAACCACTGTACTCGGTTCATAGTTTTCTTCATAAACCGGTTTATCCCTTGTTCACACAGCTTTCACACACTCCTTCAAATGTGGATTTTCCGCCCTTCCTTGAACCTTTTGAAGGCTAAGGGTTTACATCCGCATCTTTTGCATGTCATCTGTCCTGATAGTTACACATGACTGATCAGAGTGGCTTTTATAACTTAAAAACGGGTTTAAGATGGGATAATTCAATCCGGCAGATAACGGCAATAAGTGGACATTGTGTGTTTCTATTATTCATGTCTTTATTAAAATGAAGTTCTATAGCAACTAGACAGAAGGAAATACTTGCCAGTGCCCAATCAATTCTGGCTGCCGCCTCAGCCTCACTGTTTAACATTTTTTCCATGGCTCTCTCTGAGTCAGAGACAGCAAGTCTGTTCCACTCATACCGCTGTAGAACCTTGCTTTGGATGGGAGTAACAATATTTTGTTTGAAGTCTATTGTAAGCCTTTATTCTACAAATAATGTATGTGAACGCTTAGGAATATGCTTGTGCATTTGTAATTTAATCTGTAATTAATCTATTTTATATTTGATGTTTAGATGGAACAAGAGGCCGAGAGGCGTCGACAGCCTCCACAGATTAAGCCTCAGCCAGAATCTGAAGAGGAGGAGGAGGAGAAACCTGTAAGAGAATTGAAGGTTGAAGAACAGGTGGAAGAGGAGGAGGAGCCTGAACCAAAGCCTTGCCTTAAGCCCACCATGAGGCCTATTAGCTCTGCTCCATCTGTCTCATCTGGTAGTGGACATGCAACCCCTAATTCTCCAGGGGATGAGTCTCCATGTGGAATCATCATTCCACATGAGAATTCACCAGAGCAACAGCCACAAGAAGAGTACCGGCCAAAAATAGGCCTGAGCCTCAAATTAGGTGAGTAATGCGTTTCTTGTACTAAGTGTGTCTGTGTGTGTCTTGTAGCTATTTTCTGGATATTGACATCTTATAACTTATGGTTCTTTTAGGAGCCTCCAGCAGTCCGAGTCAGACAAATGTTGCAAAAAGGAAGAAACTGCCAGTAGATAGTGTATTTAATAAATTTGAGGATGAAGATAGCGATGAGGTGCCACGAAAGAGAAAGCTGGTTCCCCTGGATTACGGCGATGACGACAAAGCTTCAGCCAAAAATAATGTGAACACAGAAGAGAAACGCAAACATATCAAGAGTCTGATTGAAAAAATACCTACAGCTAAACCAGAGCTGTTTGCTTATCCTTTGGACTGGTCCATTGTAGACACTGTGAGTGTGCATTTGTGCTTTCAGCTACACATAGCAGTTGCTGATAGACAACGTCATCTGTCTGACCATATATATGTATTTCTCTCCCGTTCATTGAAGGACACAGGGCAACAGATCGTAGATCCTGAATGGTAGGGTATATCGCCACCTGCAGGAGTAGGACGCTAGGCACATAACAAAAAGACAAGACAGCCTAGGGGCCGCCCCTGCTGGTGGCCCAACCCCTCACTTGCTGACAAGTCTCCAGTTTTTTGCCTAGCGTCAGGAGTAAGGAGCTAAAAAATTTTCTCTGGGAATTTTTTCTTTTTGTATTATATTTATAGATAACTAGCACTTTATGCTTTAAAATGTAAGAATCCTGCTTATCAGCAGATATCACCATACCTGCTCTTACCTAGAAAGGCCTCTAATTTCACTGGTATAGGCTACAATTTCCATGACTGCCTCCTTGCTTTACCACTGAGGCACATCTTATTTGGCCTGTTACTATATTATGTTGATAGTACTCGTTTTACCGCATTGTGTTGTATTGCCATTCATTTTTGCCACAAGAAGAGTACCGGCCAAAAATAGGCCTGAGCCTCAAATTAGGTGAGTAATGCGTTTCTTGTACTAAGTGTGTCTGTGTGTGTCTTGTAGCTATTTTCTGGATATTGACATCTTATAACTTATGGTTCTTTTAGGAGCCTCCAGCAGTCCGAGTCAGACAAATGTTGCAAAAAGGAAGAAACTGCCAGTAGATAGTGTATTTAATAAATTTGAGGATGAAGATAGCGATGAGGTGCCACGAAAGAGAAAGCTGGTTCCCCTGGATTACGGCGATGACGACAAAGCTTCAGCCAAAAATAATGTGAACACAGAAGAGAAACGCAAACATATCAAGAGTCTGATTGAAAAAATACCTACAGCTAAACCAGAGCTGTTTGCTTATCCTTTGGACTGGTCCATTGTAGACACTGTGAGTGTGCATTTGTGCTTTCAGCTACACATAGCAGTTGCTGATAGACAACGTCATCTGTCTGACCATATATATGTATTTCTCTCCCGTTCATTGAAGGACACAGGGCAACAGATCGTAGATCCTGAATGGTAGGGTATATCGCCACCTGCAGGAGTAGGACGCTAGGCACATAACAAAAAGACAAGACAGCCTAGGGGCCGCCCCTGCTGGTGGCCCAACCCCTCACTTGCTGACAAGTCTCCAGTTTTTTGCCTAGCGTCAGGAGTAAGGAGCTAAAAAATTTTCTCTGGGAATTTTTTCTTTTTGTATTATATTTATAGATAACTAGCACTTTATGCTTTAAAATGTAAGAATCCTGCTTATCAGCAGATATCACCATACCTGCTCTTACCTAGAAAGGCCTCTAATTTCACTGGTATAGGCTACAATTTCCATGACTGCCTCCTTGCTTTACCACTGAGGCACATCTTATTTGGCCTGTTACTATATTATGTTGATAGTACTCGTTTTACCGCATTGTGTTGTATTGCCATTCATTTTAAATTGTTCCCTATCAGACTTGCATTTGAAGTGCACCAGAAGAGAATGTTCTGGCTAATTGAGGCGATAGCGGGCATCTTGTAATTGTGTCACAATCCCTGGCTACGCATTGTGGCTATGATGTTTGAATTACAAGAGCAGTGTAACACTTAAAAACAAATTGGCAGTGGCAGATCTTGTTTCTCAAATGGGACGATTTCTGATGCAGAATGGTTATTTAAAAATCACATTTGACCTTAGTAGGGAACATGTCAGTATTCCTAAGTCACATTCAGGATCATGTATGAAAGTGCAGGGTCTTTTTGGCATGAAAGGAGGACTGTAGCAGACATCTGCAGCTTATACATGACCTAGATTATTTTGTGTAATAAACTTCCTCTTGCATGCTGTGAATACAATAAGACTATTCCTTAGCTCCTTCATGACTGAAAGCAGAGCCAGTCTAGGTGACATGGTCTGTGACTCGGTTGAATTGTGTTTTGTTAATTAGGGACTACAGACTACTGTTTTCAATCACAGGCCCAGTCAGAGACTTGCAGCATTAAGGTAGAATCTGCAAAGTTTAATATTGTGCTGTACAACCAAGGAATGAAGGAGCGGCTATGTATGTAATTATCCATATAGAGTTACAATCCCTATGTACAAGCAAGGTTTTACTGCAGTAACACAAATTGATACAATTATTTACATTAAGCTGATAATTATGATCATTAAGTTGATTTATCATGTACATCTAAAGGGGAAAAAACTACGTCTGCCTTTGAGTACTGTATACCTCCAGATCCTGTCACTTTGCGGTGTAAAACACATTGAAATATATTTTGAATAATACATTACTAGAACATTTGTATTGTATGGAATCATTTCAGGAATATTAATGCATATAATCTATTTTCCTACTTCAGACATTAATGGAGCGAAGAATTAGGCCCTGGATCAATAAGAAGATCATAGAGTACATTGGTGAAGAAGAAGCAACTCTAGTTGATTTTGTATGTTCAAAGGTAAGGCATTTAAATGCATGTAGGTCAATGCATCCTATATTACTCATTCATATAGCGGTAATACTAAGCTTCAGATATTAGGCTTTTTGCATGTCCCTGCCACAAAGGATCTTGAATCTGGTGTCCCTGACCGTCATTTGACAGGTCAACAGGGAACAGTCAGTCATTTAATAGTATTTTTTCTACATTGTAGCAGGAATGTAAAAAACCTAAAACCGGTAGAAATGGAGACGGCGTACGTACTTTATGCCGATAGTGCTGCTGGTAAGAATTCAGTCCAGAACTTCAGTACTCGGTTACAGCACTAAACCCCATGGATTTTTGTCTCTACTTTAGTGGGTATTTTAACGGTCAGTAGAAAAATGTACGATAGTGTGCAGGTACGTTTTTTAGTTTTTGTAAAGCAGAAATTTTCAGAAGGCATGATGGTCAACATTTCTGGGTTCAATTTTTAAACTGTTTGTTTTTGTTTATAGTTCTTGTATACTTTATGTATACCCTTTTTTTACAAATTGTTTAATCCATGACATAGGATTCCCAGAGCACTAGCATTAGCAGCCTGTCTCGTGATTGACTTTCTCTGACGGAAACTTCACACTTGAAGTTTCTGAAAAAGAGAATGAGTCCCTGGGCAATGAGCAAAAAGCTCCGTCATCTGGCTTAAGTATACAAAATATTTGACATATTTCATTTACATGACTTGTTTTCTGTATTTTCTAACCATATTACAAACAATGTGCAAAAGATCTTTAGATCACCATTAACAGAATTGTGTGACTATTCCGCAGTAAATCTCGCATAATGGTCCCATGTCATAACTAATGAATTCCATTTTCTCTTCTAGGTAATGGCACACAGCTCTCCGCAAAGTATATTGGATGATGTTGCAATGGTAAGTGCACATATATTGAAGAAATTAAGGAATTCCATATATTAGAAGAGAAGCTGAACTGTTCTAGGTGGACTGCCACATCTAAATACACGTGTACTTGAAAAAAACAAACCAAAAAACTTGTACAAGTGTAGGATACGTTCTTGACTTTTACCAAATACAAGCCTGGGAATTTACTGCAAACCATATAATTTTTATTAAATTACATATCGTGACTCCTTAAATGCTTCATATGACTTTTTAAAAATAGAGGGTCATGGGGAGCAGAATGAGGCATTGGTTGGGCTCACCTACAACTGGCAGCTATTTCCCCTATCCACTGCTAGCACATACAGACAGCTTTCATGCCTTGTTTTGTTGTACCCCCCCTCCCCAATAGATCCGCTGTGAACCATGTCAGGATTTGAGGACACTGGATTGGTGCAATGGAGGAAAGCACTAAAAACCCTTTTTGAGAAACACCCTCCTATCCCCATTAAGTCACAAGACACATATATGGGAGCTAGTTATTGCAGGCCTTATCCTTAAAAATGCTAGTTGCCTGCTGTCAGTTTTGTTACCGACCTGGAAAAAGTGAATGTTTAAAATAAAAATGTCTTAAACTGCACCAAGGTCAGTGGCTCAGTAAGCATAGAAGTGAAAGGAAAGTTAAATTCTCTCATGACAGGCGTTCTTTCTGGGAAAATGGAAATCTTAGTGGTAATTTGCTGATGTCTAGCGTTTTAAAATGGCTACTTGACACAGTTGAATGGTTTTATGGGTAATTGTAGGCTGCTTTTTATTATTTCTGATTACCAGAAGCAGAGAATTTTCTTAATGCACTTTGTCAACTATCAGTGTTTGTCTGGGAATCAAAAGCAAGCCTAAACACTGAAATTGTGTTACTTCTAGGTAGCAGATTACCTTTTTATTTGATTTTCTTTTTCCGTTTTAGGTCCTTGATGAAGAAGCTGAAGTATTCATAGTTAAAATGTGGCGGTTACTAATTTATGAAACCGAAGCAAAGAAGATCGGTCTTGTGAAGTAAAACGTGGCATACTGGCTTCATTACCCAAATGTATTGGGCACCATCCAATCTTTGCTGTCGGGGCCAACAAAACATTGAACTGTAAAATGCAGTCCCAGATTCCTAAGTTATCTGCGACCACAGAATTGGTGCACCAAGTAAACCAGTGTCTTACTGGTACGGTTTAAAATATTCAGCTGCTGTACAATGGTCTCTTTGGTAACAATGTTTGTCCATACTCTTGTACATATTAAAATAACAATTTTTTGCAATTTGTTCGCACTTATGTACCTATTGAATAACAGCAGGATGAATGGCTGATGTCCTTCTAAATGTAGGGTTTAAAAAAGTCACCGTGTCTTCTTTTTTGGTTTCTGTATTTATTGCTGCAAAATTACTTTACATTTGTACAAGGCATGGCTGGTTGGAAATCTGGCAATATTTTTCCCTTATCGTGTTGTAAATATATATTTTTTTTTTCTTACAATCCCATTTTCTGAAAGGGAGACAGTTAAAATCTTTATGTCTAATTCTGCATAGGGGTTAATTTTTCCTGCCAACAAGTGATCCCATTTCCTCCACCCCATCTTTGATCTGAGTAAGCTATATCTCATATAAAAAGCTGAGTGCCTAATTGGCAGGCCCTATTGTATTGCACCTTTTTTTAAAAAGTGTGACAAGTGGCTGCAACATTCTTCCCTTGTCAGTTCTAATTTTTTATTCCTTTTTTTTTTTTATTGCTCATTATTTAATAAACAACCGGCCTGGCTGCTTGCAGTCAAGTCATGTTGTCCAAAAATAAAACATTGTTTTGTACTTTTTTTATTAGCATTGTTCTCCTTATACATGTATAGGAGGGTTCGTGTGAATATGTCAGCAATAATTGCTGAACTCTTGAGCACGTTTTTAAGTTATCTCAGAAAGCCCATGAAAAAGAATCCAGGACATGGTTGAAATATATAAAACCTTTAAAACACTGGCATTTAGCACTATGAAGAACTGTGTATAAATGCCATTGTTAATACCTTTTTTTTTAAATGACCTACTTGCTATTGAATGTAAGGACCAGTGATGTTCTCCTAGTTAGCAAAATCGTGTCTGTTGGAGAATGTCTTTTGTGCGCATCCATGAGTTACAGCTCACCTTTTGTCAGCATATACTTGGGTTGAACTCTGTTATTCCCATCCACTCCGATGGAACTAAACCTTGGTGTATCTTTTTGTGTAGGCTTAATGTACATCTGACCAATATTTATTTACCATTGGGACTGATTAACAAATGAATATGACCTGCTGTTTTTGTAAACTGCTGCGATAAGTCTGTATTTAAGGCATCGGTTTATCTAATATGTCGAAGCTGTGATCTATAATTGCCAGATACCTTGCATTTGCAAACTGTGTTAAGCCACTGAAGGCTCGCTCTGTAAATAATTCAGACATTAAAGTGTATATATTTGATACGTGGGCTTAGCGTCTTACAAGGTTTCCAATCCGGACTTTTTGAAAATCAATAACCGTACTAATATGTAAGCTCACAAGAAGATGGTACTGTTTTAATAAAATTCTGAAAACCTTGGTACAAAAATAGCTTAGAGACTGTTACTGGGCAAATAGGGGGGCAAACTGCTACAGATCTGAAGGAGCATTCAGCAGCCCCCCAAATAGGGTTGCCACCTGCCCCGGATGCACCTGGACAATCTGGGTTTTGATTCCTGTATGTGCTGTCTGGGTTTCAGCTGGCCTGAAACCCGGAAACAGGACTCAAAGCCCGGACTGTCCAGGTGAATCCGGGACAGGTGGCAACCCTACGCCCCAATTCTTGCCGTCACCGCTTCCTGAAAGTGCCAAAGTTTGCTGTCCTCCTTTCTGCCCCCTGTGGGCCAGTGATGCTGCCCATCAGTGACAAGCCTGTAGAAATGTGTGTGGATGAAGCTAATTGGCAAGTTCTGACACTACCAGCAACTGTCAGCATGGCTCATCGTGACAAAGGTTTGCCTGCATTTCATACCTGCTACAGTTTGCTGTCTTCCCCAGTGACAGAATCGCTTTAAAGGTGCAGTAACTTAAACTTGAAAGTAGCCAGTAACATGTTAAATGATTCTTAATGAAAATGTTAATCTAAACAAAGCAAAAAAAATCTGTTAATAGTATGAAACAGAAAATAAAGGGATATGTTACATGTGAATGGAAAAGCTACTTAGAAACTAGGGTGCTGTTTATGATTCAAGCAACTAGAATACCTAAGCAGTATATTGAAATGTTTGGACAGATGCACCATATTGTGTTACAAGTTTGTGTTTTTTTTCTCGTCCATGGAGGCACAACCTTGGGTTATACTGCTGACTACAGGGGGAGTTCACACTCGGTGCCCATTCTTAGCTCATTTTGTGAGTAGGCTGGACAAGCTGAGTACTGGTAGCTACCTGGTTTTCATAGGTCACTAAGAGCCTTTAAAATTCCTAGTTCTCTGCTGGTTTCCGCCACTGAAGGGGTTAATGCTGTGCTATTAGCTAGGTAGTGTGTCACATGCTCTTTGCTTCTATACAGTGTGGGCAAAGCATCTCCTTGTTGCTTCTCCTGAATGCAAAGATTTACGTAGAACTTCAATCTGGTCCTGCTGGCTGCCTACAGCGACTTTGGTTACTAACTTCTGATCCTCATCTGACATCAGCTGTGTTTTGTGCATAGCCAAGGCCCTTACCTCTTCCTTGAGCTTTATGTTGCCTGATCACCACACGAATGCAACATATGTGATTGCGGGGGGGGCGAGAGAGAGACAGTCCCGCTGTATTGGGTGACTCTCTGCTAATGGCTCTGAGGCTGTTTGCAGCATTCCCACTGATCGTGTCAACGTCTGCTGCCTGGAATAATCTTGCCCTCTCCTCTTTGGAAGTCTGTTCTGTCATCAGAGCCCTCTTTAGCTCTGTTGGCTGAGGTTTTTACTACAGCTCTGCAAGTTTTTATAGCTCAAATCACCGAGTCATTTTTGGACTTTAACTGTAGAGGTCACGACTGCACTACCATACCTAGTCCTGCCAATTATCTGATTTCCCCTTGGCAGCTTTTGAGCCATCGGCTGAAGAGACTGTCTCCAAGTCACTCCTGTCCCTGTCTGACAAGCTTTCCCTGGAACATTGCAGTCTACTGCTATTACTCCCAAATTAAGAGACTATTTGGTTTGTTATCAATGTGGTGGTCACCACATGTCACTAGATCAGCCTGTTACTTCCAACAGTGCTGTTTTCTAGTCTTGGTCATTTAAAGCTGCAAAGGCTTTCCCATTGCACCTGATTTTTCTATGGAGGATTGGTGTTTCCAATCTCCTTCTTTATGGAGATTGGAAACACCGATGAGTTGGCTGAAATTCGAGCGGTGTATGGCCAGCTTTACTATTCCATTAGAAGACACTTAAGACATAAGACCTGTGTTTAGGAACCTAACTAAAAAGTGATTTGGAAGCCCTCTGTAGGACTCTGTTATCACTGGCGGGCCATTCCCTTCACCCCATCATAGCTGTGACTTTACTTTGTCAGACATGACTTCAAAATCTCTTAAGGAAGCTCACAATTGCTTTGTTTGATCCCTTGATTAATTTTAGGCAACAATGGTTAGTTTGTTTCTTGCATGTAAAATATGGGAAATGGCAATGAAGGTTGTTTTGAATTTAGAAATGGGGTGTAATCCTACCACACCAGAATTCAATAAAATAAATTACAGAGAATAAGCAAATCTCAATATATGGCACATTTATAGTGACAAACCCAGGAGTTAAATCTTTAAAATGCATTTTAAGTGCCTTCGCTATTAACAAAAATGTATCTCATTTTTTGATCCTCAAATCATCTCTGAATTGTTGCCGACACTGTTCTTTCTTCAGGAGGGTGGCTACTTTTGTTCCCCATGGTCCCTGTGTGTGTTGTAAAGTAGCCACTGCTCCAAGCTCACTCCCGTGGTGGACTAAAATCTCACTTTTAGTTTACCAATTTGTATTGAGATTGTAGTCTGTCACGGGAGCGAACTTGGAGTGGTGGCTACTTTTATAACACGCACAGAGACCATGGGGAACGAAAGTAGCCACCCTCCAGAAGGAAAGACAGTGTCATCATGAATTCAGAGATGGATTTGAGTATCTACAGCCGCGTGGTAACAAAAATGTATCTTATTTGTATGATAGTTACGGTACTTGAATGCTTTTTTTTTTTTAAGATTCAAATTATGCAATAAACCCTGCTGCAAACTTTGCCAACATGTGACAAGAATACAGCACGTCACAATAACAAAACTTACACCATTAACCGCTTGAAGACCAGGTGTTTAGACCCCCTTCCTGGCCAGGCCATTTTTCAGTATTCAGCGCTGCGGTACTTTGACTGACATTTATTCCGTCATGCAACGCTGTACTGAAATTAATTTTATACAATTTTTGGGGGACAGATGGAGCTTTCTTTTGGTGGTATTTAATCACCACTGCGGGTTTTATTTTTTACTATATTCAGGAGAAATTACTGAAAATTTTGGGAAAAAGTTTTTTTTACATTATGTTATAAAACAACCAATATTACCCACTTTTTTGGTAAAATATAAAAGACGGGGTCACGTCGGGTAAATAGACACCAAACATGTCAAGCTTAAAAATTGCGCGCACTCGCAAAAAACTAGCATACCCAAAATTGGCCATAGGCGACGCTTTAAAAGCTTTTACAGCTCATCAGTCTAGTGTTATCAGTGATTGATGGCCCTAGAACTATTGCTCTCATTCCGACGTTCGCGGCGATATGTAACATGTGCGGCGTAATGGGCGCAATCGTCGTTTTCACAGGTATGTGCACCTGACGCATGTTTACATGCGTGTATGTAGGGGTGGGGAATTTAAAAAAAATTGTTTTTTTTTCAATTTTTTTTGTGTAACTTTAAAAAAAATTTGGGGGAAAACTTTAACTTTATTGCGATCACAGAGGGGGCTGAGAAACCCCCATAAGTGATAGCAAAAGAGGTGACAGGTCCTCTTTATGGAGACATCAGGGGTCTCCAAGACCCCTAATGTCACCTAGGACCCCCCTGAAG